CACTCCTCGTCCTTGCCAAAAATTATGTTTTAGTTTGAAAATATGCAAAAATTAGCCAATTTAATTTTTTTATTGCTTAGGTGGATGGATGAGCTAAAATCCCACCCGGTGTTAATTGGTTACTGGAACCCATAGGAATCAGGAATCTACAACGTAAATGCGCCACCCACCTTGAGATATAAGTTCTAAGGTCTCTAGTATCGTTACAACGGTTGCCCCACCTTTCAAACCGAAACGCATTACTGCTTCTCGACAGAAATAGGCGGGGCGGTGGTACCTACCCGCGCGGACTCACAAGAGGTCCTACTACCAGTAAAACGATAATTTAGGTACTCTAAAACAGTATTTAATTAAAGTGTCTTTTGTCGTATAATGGACGGACGAGATAATAATATAGTTTACGTAGTAACCTATGTTATTATATGCCATATAATCTATGCCATTGTACCTTTGTGCATGAAGTTGAATAAATAAATACATAAATATAGTATAATCATTAAAAGTTTCGATTGAGTGTAACTGTAGCAACTTACAATCTAAAAATATTAACAATAAACTAATTTAATACTTGACTACGTTCGATATTAATAACCATTAAGATTAATGAAAGACATCGGATACATTAACAATGCGAATCATTTCTCTGTACGATTTACGAATCAATAAATTCAAAGAGTCGAATCACTAGACGAAATCTAATTAATAAAACGCAAGACATAAATCAGAATCGCCAACGAAAACATTCGCTCTCTAATAACGTTGCGTTCAAATCTGCGTCTAAGAGTTTTTTTTTTTTTTATCAAAAGCAGTCCGCATTCGGGTTTAATAAGTCGTCCTATAAATCAAATATTAGCAGCAATAAACCGAGGGAGTCCCATTTCAACGCCACTCCGTAGGTACGAATGTTACATTATTTACAAAAGGCTTCCGATTCCAGTGGCAGCGGCCATTAGGCGGCGTGGCGTGTTGAGGTGCTCCAGAAAAACAACCCTATTCGAAAAAAAACTCTTTGGTTAGTTGGTTGCTTTCGTAATTGTTCAGGACTCTTGTTATTGTCTATCATTTGTTAATTTCAAACTATTCCATCGAGTTTATTACTATCGAGTTATTAATTGTGAATTTTTTTAATCTCACTACCCGTTTTAATAATTCTGTGGTCATAGATCAGACAATGATAAGTACATTTTTGCTCAGTACGACTTATTAATATAGGTATAATCGCCAAAAAATACTCTTTCATTCGGTCATATTAGGATAACTACACGCAAAATATTACTGTTGCATTGAATATTGAAAATATATAAATAAATTGAACTCGTCCATGTACATACATAGATTAAATTTAATACAGATAAAATATTCAAAGTTAACGTCTGTGTTACGTTTAAGAACATATTTTACTTCGTTCATGAGCGTGGAAACTCGAGAAGTTTGTTCCTCAAAACAACCGCTTATGAGAGATAAGAAAAGGAGTAGTCGAGAACGCGTTAGCAATAACTTGCCCTTTTCCTTTCGTACACGTCACGGCAAGCCCCGGGGGAGCCTCCACGTAATATTTCCGGGTCTGCTGTCGACAAAAGATCCCCTTTCATTGAATCAAAAACATAATCGTAAAAGAGCTTTTAAAGAGTCGATTTGTTTCTAAGAACTTCTTTTGATTCGAGCTTCGTTAAATTTTATTTTTTTCGACGTGCTCGAGGGTAGCTGGAGATTATTTAATAATACAGGTAAACGAATCCCTTGCGTAATATCTTATACTAGTAACCTCTGTGAGTTATTTTTTTTTATTTTAATTTTAAACAAGTGCTCCTATCGTTTACGTTTTTCGAGCAATGGCTCTACATAGGAACGCGTAAGCTATTTTGAAAATGTGAAAAAATCTTTGTTTTTAAATACCTTGTTGTTTGGGCAAATGACAATAGTTAATAATTATTTTTGTCAATAGTTCCATTACATCTGTTTGTGTGGTCAAGTAGAAAAATAAAAGGGGATTATATTGCCATAGCAAAATATTACGAGCGTTGAGTGTAACGGCTGCATGCACCTCTCAGAGCTATGAAAACCTCGTGCCTCAGCACAACAGTTGACTCTCAACATGCACACATATACAGGGGGCCTACTATAAAGCCAGGAGGGTCCTGGTGTGAGGCGAGGGGGCGACACTGTGACGATGCAGTTTGCACCGCGGCCTCCTCAAACCTTCACCAACTTGCGCCCGTGTTCTTGGGAATCGTTTTAAATTCAAGAACCGCAGAATATTTTGCGTACGATATTAGATCTTATCACCCTGGAACACGATTCTATGTTGACTCACCCAGTTTTTATAAGTCGTTCTGGAAATAAAGGTCTGTGTTAACGCGACGTCTGATTTAAAACTCTACAGGTATGTGTGTTAAGTTGAAACTCCTTTAACCAATACTAAAACAGCGAGCGTACTTGGTGTGAGTGCGGAGGTGAGAAATACATTAGCGGTACCGTTTTCCATTGGTCGTTGCTCCTGTGTTGATATTAAGCAGTCCACGTGGACTGGGTTCGTGGTAGCTTGTCTCGTTTCTTCAAATGGGTTTTCGCATTCTGTCCCGTTCTGATCTACAACGAAACGTGGAATGTCATGTCCGGAGTCGTTCAGAAAGTCGTGAGCGTGCATCGTGCTTCCAATTCCTTTTGCATTCCAAAAGAGCGCAAGTTATATCATCGGTTATTCATTTAAGAATTTTAATGCATTGAAATAAAGTTTATACGGAAAAATATGCTAAGGTGGTAAAAAGTACACATGGATATATAATATTGATAAGCATTTTTAAGTCAATTAAGGTTGTAAGCTAAAAGCAGTTGTTGCTACATTTAAATTATCGACCAGCATTCAAATAACGCCATTTTTTCGTGTCGGCACGAATTTATTTAATAGTCATATATAATAATATATGTTATACCTAGTCGCTATAATAACTCGTGGTGGGCGATGCGTTGTACTATCTACCTATATTACCGAAACTAGGTTAAGTAAATCTGATATCTACTCGTACATTTAAAGATCACGATTTCCGATCAAATATCTAATACCGTTTTCTCATGATTACATTTTTATTGAAAATTTTACAAATAATGTTTGTTATGGAATCAAAGTCAGGAATATAATGATAAGTAGAGTGAGTAGATATGTAATATAAATTTACGATAATATGCTTATCGAGTAATATTTTAAAGACTAACTTGACCATCTACCAAACTACAATATTTCGAAGCAAAAGTGTTTAAATTGTGTTACCATAGAGACGTATAAAGTAGAAAATACCCTTTTTTACTAATTAATACCAAATTCATAATAACAAATAATTATTTCAAAGTTTTATGTTTTTAACAAGTGTATAATCCATGTTTTTAACTATTAGAACCAAAGCTAAATAAAATGTAAGGTTTATTAAAATGCCTGGCTATTAGAGACCTCTACCGACATATATCTTGAAACAATTTGTTCATCAGAGTAATAGTCAGGAATGGGATTTCTTTGTCAAATAGTTACAAAATATAATGATAGATGGCGTAAGAATAAAGAAATAATAATGAAATGAAATTTTAAAATGAATAATCTCTAGCTATTATAGTGAAGCTGCTATTGAAAATGGTAATTGCAAAGTAAATTCTAACAAAGATAAACATTTCAGTTTTGTTAAACTAAAACTTTATTTACCTACTTATTTTGTTGAAAACTAATGCGAATGAGTCTGCATGCAAAGGGGATCGGTTTACATGTTGTTAGTAGCATAATAAACTTAATATTAATAATAGTTCTAGTAATGACAAATAGTGGTTTATTTAATTTTAAGCCCATTCATACATGGAAATAAGAAGTAATCAGTCAATTTTTATTTATTTAATTCAGTATTTTCTTGTGTCTAATTGTAATTGCAAAAAACTCAACTTAAATAGGTGCAATTGTAGAGTATTGCCTGATTTGTTGTTGTTGTTTAAGGATATAAAGCTTCCAGGTGAGGCATAAGGCTTCAAGAAGAAGCCATACCGATCGGTCTTCGGCTATGCGCTTTACTTCGGTTCCGGCTAACCTGATTGTCTTCATCTCCGCTGCCAGGTTCGCTCTCAATTATATTAAGTGTATAATCTATGAGGTTCGCCTCAGGTGGCTTGGTACTGGGGTGCCAGTTCAGAGCTAGGTGAATGAAGTTAGCCCCTCAAAAAATTTTTTTTTTCCTATTTTATACTTATTTTCTATTAATTCGTTTGTTCATCATTTGTTCATGATTGTTCACTGTTAATAATTGTTTGTTCTGCATTTATTTATTTTAAAAAAATATTTAAAAATATACCTACAAGTTAGCCCCTCTAATGCAATTTTTAATATTTTTTCATCCTTAATGACTCGTAAATATTCATTTTCGATTGTTCTTATATAAAAAACGTTTGTTCTCTTTCGAAATTACTCGTTTTTTGTTTAATTTACTATTTTTATTAGTTGAATAAATGTATGCAAAATATGTGTACTGCGCATGCGTCAACTATAATGCCTAAACTTTCTACGCGGTTTTAATCGTGAAAAAAAAAACAAATATATATCCTGAAGGCGCAATTAATTGGTATACAGTTTAATTAAAAAAATTAAAAAATAAATAAATGAAATAATGTGCATTGGCGTTAAGTTAGACCAAATACATTTTTTCCATTATCTTACCTATCGTATTAAAATGTTATTTCACTAATGTTAGGAATATAATTTCGACTGTGTAAAAATGTTATTATAATGTATACCTATATTATCTCTTGAAAGATAAATAATGAACATATTTACTTATTTGTTTATATTACCTATGTGAACTCCCTATCTTTTTTATACCTTCATAACGATAAGTAGGAGGATGGAAAAAATGTATTTGGTCTAACTTAACGCCAATGCACATTATTTNTATGGAAAAAATTGTTGCTAGGATTGTAAATTTGACATTGACAACGACAGCCGCGTTCCCGATTTTACAGATTACAGGTGTCGTTTTACTTCTATGTCAAATAGGTAGGTAGCAAAATAAATCAAAACACAAATAAACAAATCAAATAAAGGGTAATTATCAATAAGTATATTTCGTTTTTCTATCGATGTTTTTGTTGGTACATTGATGTATAATATAATTATTCTATTATTTAGGTTGATTCTGTGTGAAATCAACAAATCTATTACTGTGAATCTAAAAAACAAACAAGTTCCATTTCGGACAACATTTACATTATAAAAATACTTTCCATTTAAGCCTGTTCCTGTTGATTTTCGGGAAGATGTCTCCAAAAATTATCTTGTTATTCAGTGGTAAAAGGAAGTCTGGAAAAGACTTTTTGACTGATCATTTAAGACACATGTGAGTTTACCTACATACTTTTATTAAAATTTCCTGTTCCCCTGATTAATTTTTAAAATTTGTAATACATGTCTTTTTTCATAATCCAAATCTTAATGTAAAGTCACAAACTTCAAAATTGAACAATGTATAAACAGGATGTGTGATTCCAATCTCCAATGAATTATTTATTTGCTTATAACTGCTGCTTCTTAAAATATTTACAAGCTTCATGTAAAATACAGAATATTATAGAAATTTACACACAGTTTGTGTTTATTAATGTTTGTTGTTTATCAATGTTTGAAATATAATTTAAATTTTGGTACCAAGATGCTTTTTACATTCTGCACAGATGCTATTCCTGCCATAGAGCAGTAATACATTTAGGTGGGCAGACGAGATCATCATTAGACAATACAATTGAGATTTAGACTTCATGTCTTAAAGTTGGTGACAGTGTTAACCCTGTGGTATATATGAGCTTCAGTAGTCTCTAACACCATTAGGTTGCAGACTTTATGCACATATTTAGCCTATTTATTTGAAAAACCTTATCCACCTGATGATGAACAGTTTCAATTACAGAAATCAGCAATATCAAGCAAAGTTTATCAAAAAATCTCAAGCAAAGCCTCCCACATGCTCTTTTCATGTTATAAAGTTTACTAAAGACCTACTGTTTATATGATTAAATTAACATGTTGAATGCTACACCAGAAGCCAATTTAGCCTAGTGGGCCATTGCGGATACCCTGTCACTAATAAAAAGTCAGGTTCAGGGAGTTATGATGGACACTGTATCTGCCATTTGACATATCTCTAAACAATTTTTGACACTATTTGCAAAAAAACACCACAACAATTTTTGTAGGATTGTTAATATATTGGATCGGCTCTAGGGAACAGTATGCTGTAGACATATGGAGTTCAACATGTTAAAAAACTGAAAATCAGTACTTAAGTTGTTGCTGGGAAGAGATTGCTTTTAGCGAAAAAACCGCTTATTATTGTACATGTACATCTAAACTGTTTTATTTATTTCATTCTTTCAAGGTGTGCAAAAATAATTATTTTTTCTTATATCTGTAATTCTTCTTCTTCTTCTTCTTCTCTGTCGTTTCCTCATTGCTGAGGGTCGTGACCACCTTGGTCCAGTTTTTGCACCATTAAATTAATCTGTAATTAAGCACCATGAAATTTAACAAAGTAAATTTTAATTATGACCTGCTTGTTTGTTCCTTAGTTTAGCAGATAAGTGTGAAATAATTAAAATATCTCAACCTATCAAGACTCATTGGGCTAAAGAGAAAAATTTGAATTTGAACGAATTGCTCAGTGAGGGTGAATATAAGGAACAATACAGACTGGAAATGATAAAATGGAGTGAGGAAATGCGAAACAAAGATTATGGCTGCTTTTGTAAAGCAGCTTGTGAAAATGGTAAGCTTAAATATATTATGATAACTTTCACATAAACATAAAAACCGTTTGAACTTAGTTGAAAGCAAATATTTTAAACTGTTTACTTCAACCACAAGAGAAGTGGACTTTATTATTATTTTACCATACCGATAAAATTAATTTATAAATAATACAGCACAACCAAAACATCCTAACTTACTCATATATCTTACAAACTTATTCTTAACAATGCTTATCTTACAAATACAGTTTCTCGCTCGCTTGTACGAAATCTAACTAGTCACCAAAGTTAAAAAATAATAATGTTCTATTACCTAGTGAATCTTGGTCATGCTCTACCATTACTACTAATGCTAATTGTATGAAAAACACTGAGTTGTTGAAACTCTAGGATTTAAAATACAAACAAACCCTTCTGTTAAAATTCAATGCTCTGTAAAGTTTGAAGTGAACCCTTTCTGAGAGACGCAGAAACAAACTTAAGGATTTCTTTTTTAATTCAATAGTATGTATATCTATTCAAATTACAAAACTATTCTATTTCAGCTGCTATTAAACCGGTGTGGATTGTAAGTGACATTAGACGTAAGACAGATATACGCTGGTTCAAGGAGACATATGGGGACATCATCCGAACAGTGAGAATAACTGCAGACGATCGAACTAGAAAGGAAAGAGGCTTTCAATTCCAGGTTGGAGTTGATGATGCCACTTCAGAATGTGATTTGGATGATTACAATGATTGGGATGTGGTGGTTAACAATGGAGAAGGAAGGGATTCTTTAGAAGAGCAGTTGGATAGCATATTAAAATTAGTGTCTAATTTATGATTTAAATGCATAATAAATGGTTGTGTTTGCTAAATTATTTGCAAAACAATAAAATTAGCCGGAATAAGTTAATTTTATTGTTACTTTTGTGGTGGCATGAGATTTATGTTTTTTAAATAAAAGTATATTGATGAAATAAGCGCCATCTGTTGTCGAATTTTAAAACATAGTCGCTTCCGTTTTTTATTTTACAATTACAAAACTAGCTTTACAATATAGTGCATGGTTATAGACATTGTTTAAAGAGTAAATTTATATTTTGGCATAGTTTTGTTTCATTTATATTAATAAAGAGTTTAGCATATCCGTAGAGTAATTTACGTTTTCAAAAATGGTTACATAAAAAGCTAACAGATGGTCCCACGATGTGCATCATATGATTTTCTTTGTAAAATAACATAAATGGTAAATAAATACATAATTGATCTGAGATGTATTTGTTGTCTCGTTTGCCTGTACTATGTTTCTGGCACGTATCATATAGGAGTAAATTCGAGGTCATTCAGTGTAAAATTTTGTCATAATGTATTCTATATTTCATCCGTTGCGATTAGAAGTGTGGAACAACTGTTATCCAATATAGTTGAGACTTCGTCCTTTTGTCTCAAGTTATGACAGCATTCACTTAGTGAAATGTATGGTTTTTGGTGTACAATCCATCCTAGGGGGATCAGCAGAACCATCCCAAAAATAACGGTTTTTTATCGATAATCCATAAGTTAAATTGTGTATTGTGTTCTTAGTGCGAGTTTTTTAACGTTCTTGATGGCGTAAAAGTTAACTCAAGCTTGGAACAGCGCCCCTAGCGGCAACGGTAGGGGAGCGTTCCAACTCCATACTACTACACACTGGTTCTAAAATACTCGACGTGATATATATAGGCGTAAATATGACCAAACTACTGATGTTTTTCTTTCGTCTGTGCCAATAGTCGGATTCACAAACAGAAAATATACCCACATGTGAAATTTTTATACAACAATCCACGAACATGACATCAGGACGAGAAAATACATCTATTAATAGAAAGAGTCGAATTACTTTCAGAAAAAAAAAGGAATTACAGTAATAGAAGTGATGTTGCCAGCATTCTGGATTCTATCATCTCTGTATTTTTTGTCTACCAATTGCTCAAGGGGTAATAACAGGAGGAGTGACAATTAAAGAAAAACATTTTAAGGATTTTGCAAAAACTGTATTCCGAGAGTCATATAAGATATTAAATATACACCTTTCTTTAATAAAAAAAAACCCTAAATAACAAGACGTCTTTAATGTTATTTCTAACTTTTTCTGACATGAAGTCAGTGTTTAATTATTTACATTTCAATATTTAATGTAAATGACATCTTAGCATTTATCTAAATATTGGAAAGCTTCTGCAAGAGCTGTCGATTCAGACAGTAAATACATATTTTTGGATGCTCCTCACTGTTTATTCCGGTTTTATTTATTTATTGACTTTGCCCCATTAATTTAAAAGGCGCCGGTTTGAACCAAAACAATATTTTTAAAATACTCAACCATAATAATCTCGGCCACCTTACAGTAGAACCAGAGCAAACTTGATTTAAAAAAATCGGGTGATAAAAATGACCAGCCACAATGGACCAAAATTTTTTTTTATGTTTAATGAATGTTTTAATGTTTAGGAGCAACGACAAAGTAAAGTTTTTGCAGCGAGCGGAATGTTGACGTTCGAATTCTTTTTTTTAAATTAGTTATTACTTAGATGTGTAGTCAGCTCACGGTCCACCTGGGGTTAAGTGGTTAGGGAAACCCATAGACACCTACAACGTAAATGTCGCCACCCACCTCGAGACATGAGCTCTAAGGTCTCAGGTCAGGTCTCGCTTTCATAGTACTACGGCTGCCCCACCAAAGCGAAACGCATTACTGGTTCACGTCAGAAATAGGCAGGGTGGTGGTAACTACCCGTGCGGACTCACAAGGCGTCCTACCACTAATTGTAGAACTTGTAGGTATATATATGTGTAGGTAAGGCAGTTAAATAGGTACCTAGATAAATTTTGTCGAATGATAACTGAAAATGTCAGCGAGATTCAGATATCTGTTAAATATCTGTTCCATGATGGTTACAGCCACAAATGTTTTTCCCTATGCGTTTTAAGCCATTCATGCCATTGTGCTTACGCAGCTATTGTTGGCGCCCTGAGAAAGGTTTGAGTTGTAATAATATCCTACCTAAAACCTAATATAATATAATACCTATAACTCCTTTGATAGGAGCTCATAAAAACTATATTCATGTAACCAGGGAGGTGATTTAAAAAAACTTGACATCTGCAAACATATCCTCCAATTTCGACAAATTTGGACAACCCTTTTTCCCAGGACTAGCAAGTCATCTTTATTGATGACTGATACTAACAAACGATTTAAATGATGATTACATAATTTGAATCAAAGCGGATGGGATCACGGGTATACGCTTGTTGATATTTCTTTTATAATTCAACAATTTACATCTAATTGATTTATTCTGCAGGATTCATTTACCTTTTTACGGCTTAATCTCTACTTGCCTAACTTTATAATCCGTAGTTTCGATTAATGCACTGTTTTCAAGTTGGTTTTGCAGTTATTTAAATATAAGATAAATATGTACAATTAAAAAAAGTTTAGAAAATAAATTATACAATAGGATTATTATTCCCATTCAAAATTAATGTACATTCTTTAAATAGTGTACGTCAGTGGACGTTATGCAAATCTTTACTAATAAATCAGCGAGAAAATTTAACTTCAAGTATAATTTTCATTGAAACTTTAAAAATGAGAAAACTAAGCGTTCATTAACATTACCTACGCGACATTAGTGATCCTTTGTTCACAATCACCCCTTTATAGTAGGTCAACAAGGTCTAAACAAGTGTGCTCTGTTTGAACTGAACTACTGCGAACCCCATGAAAAGGCAAAATAGGGTCACGTATGACGACGTCCTTCAACGAACTGTCGCTATATCTATCCCGTTTTGGCGACTTGTCTTGAATAATGAGGTTAATTATTGAATGGACAATTTATTTTACAATTAGCAACCCTATGTGGTAAAAAATTTTAACAATAGAACAATGAATGAAAATCTTTTTCACGTCATGAATTAAAATTGTAAAGCTTTCAATAAAATAAATAACTAATTATTTTTAATGTCCATAAGACGTAATTTTCATCGCTGCGAGCTAATGAACTTGAGCTCTTCCGTCTCGGATCGTAAATGTTGTGAAATGACGTGGCCTTTGATTTCCGCTGTGTAAATGAACCTCGCAAGCCTGTATTGGCAACGTCCATAAATGTGTGGTGTCTCCGGTGTAATGTCAGCTGCGGCTAGCAAGCGGCACGGGCGGGGACCGGTATCGATGCGGATGCGCGCGCATCCCTTCGCGCCCTCGCCTTCGATTTTCCATGCCAGGGCGACGGTGGCGGCGCGTTGCATAACTGTGTGGCGGCACTCCGCGCGCGACCCCGAACTGAGCGCCCGCCGAGAGCGCGCTACACGCGCATACACGCGCCACCTCGCGCCCTTTACGTAACGCGCGACCAGAGCTCGACTGTAAGCGGAAAAACGGCTCGTTTCATCGGCAAAGATTTCCAGTGAACCGAGATAAGTGTGATTCGGTCGGCCCTTGGAGGAGACAGTTCGGCGGGTGCGACGGCGGCAAGCTGGTAGGTGTGCGCGCGCTTTGTGCTGGCGCGTGCTGGCGGCGCGGCGGTGGTGGTCGCGTGCTGAATAATTGAGGCAGAGGCTGTCCGGTAGCCGCTATCGACCCCGGTCGCGTGACTCGCACGTATTACCGAAACAAGGACGCCGCGCTGGCTGCGGCACTACACCGCCGCTGTTGTCGCCACCACCGTCGTCGCTACGTCTTCCTTGTCATCACTTCTCTCAATGACTGCGTTAATGCTACCTTATTTACATGCTTAGCTTTTGTTAATAATATTTTTAGTTCGCTTTTACAGAAAATGTCACTGTATAATAAGCAAAGCTGGTACACCGTTGTAAGATTGATGCATTAGTGAAATTAAATGGAAACTTTTTTACAGAAAACCTGGATAAGTCGCGCTGTTTATTTATTTATCTATGTTGACACAAATACAAATCGAAATATAAAACAACATAATGCAGATATAAATAAATTCAATAGAGGGTTCCGTTAAAGTATTTACAAACAAAGAACAACGATTGAATATCGAACGTATTTACTACTCTAAATATAGACATACCTTTTGAAGGTATCAAAATGTCTGGTTTTAAATTTTTATCTACATAATTTGACATCGGGTTAATTGAAGCTAAAAATATCAAGGATGAATGAAGTGTTCGTCCCCGTAGCTTTTATAATAAGTAAAGGATTTTCTGTGACGTAACAGTCTGGCAAACCAGCTGCTCAGACAGTTCCCGGGGAAGTATTTTTCAATGCGGCTACTAATGCGGATGCTACGCCGCGTAGCGCGGCCCGGCTACGGCCTTCGGAGACAACCACCCATTTGCCCGGCTGCTACGATCCTTGAATTAAAATCAACAGCACCTACACATTTATTGATATGAAATTTAACGGAATACGGAATTAATCCTGCCTTTGAACATTGGGATCGTTTACGAAGGCTTCTTTGTCTAATGATTGTCACATTACAATGAACAATGCTTCCTTCAAACTGTATGTTTTTTACTTATGCTATTATTTATTAAAAAGTAATGATCTCGATTATTTCGTTAACGAACGTTCCCCTATTAATTTTGTTGAGTTAATGGAAAGGGCAGAATTTTCTGGAAATTATTTTATTATACGAGTAATAATAAGCCGTAATGTAAGCTGGATCTGATAAATTTCCATGTAGCGATCACATATCATTTATTACTGACCAACATATATTAATAATAGCTGGCGTATTCGTTTTCATATTTTATTCGCTGAAATTATTTGTTAAAACTAATTGTTTCATAGATGATTTATATAAATTGAAGAATTTTGTTCGTGGAAAACTCCAATTTTCTTCAATAAATAGCAACTTTGTTTATTTTATTCATTTTATAAGATCAGACCAGTTAGTACTTTTGTTATCTATGTGGATGATTAATGTTTTATGTATAAAAATAATAATTAAAACTGCACTACACCAACTGTCATTTAAAAATTTACAATGGCAGGAACAACAAAGAAATCGTAAACTCAAAGTGTTTCAATCAATGTGGGGCTTAAATCGAGCCTACTATTGGAAAAATCCTTGAAAATATATACTGCTTTTTCCCGAAATCCTCAGTTATAGGTACCCACGCATCAAACAAACCAGATATTTGAAATTTGGATGAAGTATCATTTGAGTAACGTACAGTAGAATAGGAAATAATTTATTGCCAAACTAACCATATTACATATACAGGTCCCTACACATATTAATCGAAAGGTGTTATTAAGAAGGAAATGTTAGAAAATTTACCATTCTTTGTCGCGTATAGAGAGTCCACACTTACTCGGTGCAAAAAAGACCGCAATTTTTTTTATGTAAAGAAACTTTTTTAAAGTTACTTAATGACCATTCTAAAATATCAAACAAAATTCACAAAGTTTACTCATAAAATACATTTAAAGCAAGAAAGTTTATTTGTTGGATCGTGCTCATCAACCATTCGTTAGATAAAAATGATTATCTAATCTTTAAAAAAATCCCTGTGTTTTGCACCGGAAATTCCACTGGGAGTGTTCCGAAGAACATTTTTATATAATTTGAAAATAAAAATGCTATTTAATTAATTTTGATAACTTAAGTTTTCGTTTGAAATAACGGGAAACCAGTTCACATATCTATATATATCTATCTATATCTCAATCCAACTCTATTAAAACTCATCAGTGTAGTTTAAAGTTATTCATAGAACAATAATTAAAAAACTAAAAATAAGATAATGTCAGTCAAATACAAACGTCTTATCATTTAATAAATCTAGGTAAATAATTAAAATGTCTAAACTTTTTATATTCACGCGCTCCGAGAGCCATTTCCTTCTGTGTTATGTATGGCCACTGAAAACACACTGATGAGTAAGTATAATTACAATAAGGCCTAGCATACCGAAATATTTAAAAAATACGAATCGGACCCGCAGTCCTGTAGGGTCATTGGCCATTTGACCAACTTATCCTCTTTTAATGCTATTATGCTATTTAAGACTAATGACCCGAAAAGATAATCGTAATGAGGCCTTAAATCCTTATCAGCACATTCACCATTACATATAATTATATATACAATTGAAGGATTTTACACGGAGTCGTTCATAATTCAGTGGCTTTATTCGAATTTTTAAGGTTACATAGCCGAAAAACGGACTATCAGAATTTTATCCCGTCAGTATGTAACAGCTATTTGATACAATTAATACGGTTTATATCAAAATAACAAATTAAAATCCCTTGATACCGTTTTATAAAAAAGGCTCTAATAAAAATTAAGAAAGGTATACAGCTTAAAATGTAACGGAGTATAATCATTATCCTATAATTAAAGTTGCCCGGTGTTAATTAACGTTCGACAATTATCTGAATTCCTACTTCAGGCGGCTTCTTTTCAGAATACGAGGAATTCGGTCTTTGAAGCGATCGATAAGTTCTTTCACTAATGGTTTTTAACTGAAATAGCTTCGTATTCTTTGGAGTATTAATTGCTTTTTTTTTTATTACGGCGTGATGTCTTGACTTGACACTTTCGGCGTTTGTAAATTTTGTTAATCGAACAGTTAAATTTTATCAAACATTAATTGCTTTGTGGCTTAGTTGAACACCCACTTTGCTGTCTTTTATTTCAATTTTATTTAATCACTATCAAAATTCACAGGATTAGTCACTACCCCAATCTGAAAATTTCCTGAAAATTTCATCTAAATCGATACAGCGTTTATAAGGTTCATAAATACATAGGGATATATACACACATCGATTTCTAAATACAATATGTAAATAGATATGTAACTTATATACGCTTTTCTATTAAAAGAAGAAAACATTTCAAGACATGATAAAAAAAAATCCATGTCAAACTATTGTCGGCTTCCAAGAATCTATTAGGACCATTCTAAAGGTTTAACATTTATGAAACATCATATTTTACAATGTGGGTTGTTACGCGTCCTTTGAAAAAATATTTTGTACCACCACAAGTTTGACAGGCTTATTTATTTCTCAGTACTGTACTAATATGCTATTACTGAGTAATAAACACCACAGCGGGAATAGCGTAACACGAAAAATGAAATAAAATTCTCATTTTCGCGGAAATATCAGTTAAGCCAAACTTCACACGAAAAAAAATGTTGACGTTGACAATTCACACGAAAAAAGATGTTGACGTTGACAAGACACAAGACGTTGATAACAACCGATGTACCCACAGCGTCTTATCAAACTGCTGGTAATGTGCAGTTACATAACCTAGGAAATTAGGGGGCCTAGTTCTGACTCAGCGGGGTATCTAGGTACATCAGCGGAATCGCCCGGGTGGACTGGATGCCCTGGAGTCTGGCGTCGTTGCTCGTCGACGATCGCCTCGACGACTCGTCCTCAAGGTGGCGCGATGAGTGACCGCGGGACCCCCTGCTCTGCTTGGGTTTTGAACACGGGCGAAGATAGGGACATCGGGTGAGAGAGTAAAGGGGGAGTCGTTTAGTGGGTAAGGCCCCAAAAATATCCTTTGGGACCGCGGTTTGCTCTCAAGATCGACCGACCGTTAAGTCCCACATACCTCGTGTGCCATCTAGGCGCCTTATATGAGGAAACCTCGTATGAGATTCAGACCCCTGCTAGAAAAAAAAAGGGAATCAGATGGTGGGATAGAAGGAATTAGGTAAATCGTGCCTTCTTTGTTAGAAAAAATTGCGGTATATCTTTATTACATCGTTATTGTTTCGAAGAAACAAAAGCTTGCCAAAATAAGGAAATGAGTTTCGTCCAATGTTTTTACCATGGAATTTTTCATGTTGGCATTTTGCTTGTCTTGTAAAATAATATAGATAATTGTATTCTTATTTTGATTGAAAATACTGAGAATGAATAACAAAAAATCACACCCTGTAAAGCAAAGTGCCTTTACAAAAAATTACATTTTCACAACAGATCAGCTTAAAACAGATTTCTCTAAAGATATTATTATTGCCTCACCTACTTTTCATATTTGTTAAAACTACAGGTTTTTTTTAGATTTTTTTAACAACTTTCTTTTATTCGTCTTGAGTATTACACGATTACTTTTTACTCAAATGCTAGTAGTAGCTCCAAAACGGACATTGAACAGTCAAATGATTGACATTTATTCATGACATTACCTAACTTATGTGTTAATCAAACAGCTGATAATAATAACGACTCTTTATTAGTTAACACCGATTAATTCACTAATTACGTGCAACTCACCTCCTTTATTATTCTCTTACGTTTAAAATATAATACATTTATGTATATGTGTCACGCTAGTGTGACTGATAATAATATTATCTTCCATTAAGTTAACTCTAGGAGTGTAATACGAAAGACAGTTTATACCAAATTAGCAAATTTTCATTTTTTTTATTTTCACTACAAATTACAATATTACAGGATAAAAACCACTAAATGTAATAGTTACAACGAACAAAAACACGAAGATTTTACTTGTAACTTTAAAAATATTTTAAA